CTGCTGAACAGTTTTAAAGAGGCCAATATTGAAGTGTTTTGTAACCGCTGGGTTTCCATGTGAGTGTCTCTGTTGGTCGGCATTACCTGGAGTTACGAGCATGCCTGCCGGGAATTGATCTTGCACCACGACGGGTCCTGGGTTCAGCTGGACATCGCCAGCAAGGAGAAGTGTAGCAAACAGGTACGTGAGCAGCTTTCTGTACGAGTGTGGAACTTTAGATCTATAACTCGCAGTGTTGGTTTGCTCACATGGCACTATTGCTCTTCCATCCCGTAGTATTGTAGCCTGGTTAAAACCAGACCATTCTCAGTTGTAACTGAGTTAGGGTCTGGCAAAGCTTCATAGACAAATCATTTCCAAAGGGGCGTCACCAACGGACGTAGCTCAAATGCCTCTTGGAGCAATTGGATAGACCTAAAACCAATCAGAGCGATGAAGATGACGACGTATGCAGAGCGACGTTCGTCTGTTATAGAACAACTTAGTTTGAATAAACGAGCAGACACTGATCAGCTACTTGCTCTACGTTTATTTAAAATTAACAGCAAGACAACTGGAAGTGAATGTGCTTTCCATTAAATAAATCACACACAGTAAACAAAACCTTAACAAAAAAAACTTTGCAATTTAGATGCGCAAATTGGGTGCCGGTGGTGTGAGACGTACGGGTCGGGCAGATTCGGCTTGAGGTCATTCATCCTCGGATGCGGCGCCACGCTCGCTGTTACAAAATACCCGTGCACACAGGCAAGCGAAATGGGGTCTTGCCGGTCTTGCGCACCGAACGCGTCATTTTTGCCACGCACACCTTCACGCTCATGCGGACGCGTCGAGTATAAACAAGGCTTTACTCCGTGTCAGCGCGCGCTCTGATCGGTAAAGGGGCACAGACCTCTCCCGAATCATCTCCAGCAGTAGCAGCCTCCGATCGCACCACTAACTCCGCCTCCGTTTTCCTCGTAAGCTGATATTAGTATTTAAACATTCTCTATGATAAATATTTGTGAAAAAAATATTTTAATAACATGGTTATTAACACGTTATTAACGTCACACATAGTTCCACGGCGGCATCCATCTTTGTAAATGTAAAAAATCTGCTTCACCGTCGCTGTGCTGTCGTCATCGTGTAAAGCCCGCCCCAACGTTTCTGATTGGTGCCGCGATTTCGAAGGATTGGAAATGGACTTCAATGAGCTCTTTGTCAGACTAACTTTCAGAACAAATCTAAATTTGCCGGATGTTGTCCGGAGTTTCCCAGGCTAGTAGTATTACCGTAGAGGGTAAATCGGATCCATTTGTTGTGTATAACTGGTTGTGTTGGTGGTAGTGCGGTGTCTCGTGAGATCAACTGATTGATCGCTGTATTAAATCCTCAGTCCTCAGTACATACCGGTACTTGTTTTTTGTAGTATGGTTACGATCATAGCATTTTTCAGCCACTTTAGACGGTGTAAATGAAGACAGACAGAGAAGTTTGGTGAGCACACCTGCGGCTCCTGCCAAGCCGCCGCCCGCCATCTTTCAAATGAGCTTTTACCAATATTGTTTGTTTTCCCTTTATTTTGGCGACGAGAATTTCAAAATGAAAACTTTGCAGAGTCTCAATGCAACAGACAGCGATGATTTTTTTACTTAAATCTGCGTTTTGAACAAAACAATTTAATGATTGAATGGCCCTCTTTCCCAAATGAATCAGCCGTTTGAACAAAATGGTTGAATGAATGACTCCCTCAACTCACTTATTAAAACAGTGACTTGCCGCCACCTACTGGCGGTTTTAGTTTCATATTTAAAGGGTGAGTTAACCCAAAAATGAAAATTCTGTCAGTAATTACTCACCCTCATGTTGTTCCAACCCCGTAAGACTTTCGTTCATCTTCGGAACACAAATTAAGATATTTTTGATTAAATCTGAGAGCTGTCTCACTCCTTCATAGGCTTCTATGTAATTTCATTCTTCCGGCCCAGAAAAGTTAGTAAAAACATCGTTAAAATAGTCCAAGTGACTATAGTGTCTCAACCTTAAGTTTATCAAGCGACGAGAATCCTTTTTGTGCGCAAAAACAACAACAAAAATAACGACTTTATTCAACTATTCATTTTCTTCTGTGTGGGCCCCCAACTGAGAAGATTACGCAGATGGGTCTCGATGTAGTGTTTAAAATGGTTCTAAAGTGTGCATTTCCTGGATGTTCGAATCGTGAGAAACCAACGAGAAAACGTAAAAGTGCCTTACCAATGCCGCAAAATGAATGGCTTACCTTTCACACTTTCCCATCAAATGATCGTGAGCGTCATCTTCTCAGTTCTCGCGCATGTGTCGTGGCGCTCGTGAACTCGCGTCAGAGACCCACACAGAAGAAAATGAATAGTTGATTAAAGTCGTTTTTTTGCGCACAAAAAGTATTCTCGTCGCTTGATAAACTTAAGGTTGAGCCACTGTAGTCACTTGGACTATTTTAACAATGTCTTTACTAACTTTTCTGGGCTGGCAGATGAAATTACCTTGCAGCCTATGACGGAGTGAGACAGCTCTCAGATTTCATCAAAAATATCTTGAGTTATGTTCCGAAGATAAACAAAAGTCTTACGGGGTTGGAACAACATGAGGGTGAGTAATTACTGACAGAATTTTCATTTTTGGGTGAACTAACCCTTTAAGCTATTTAGGCCTACCAAAGACCATCTGGTATTCCACTTCCTTTCAAGAGAAAATGTTTCCTACGAATTCAATCTGTCGAGTCAATAAAGGCCAGAACCTTCTCAGGGGACTTTAGGAACTTTACCAGTGGTGACTCGAAGTTTAGCTGGGTAAAGCTTGACATACTGGGCTCCCATCTGCTGTAGCTTTTGCCGCACCGCGTAGAACTCTTTCCGTTTGCGTTGAACAGTTGCAGAAAAGTCCTGATAGAACGATAATTTACTGTTGTTGTACATCAGATCTCCTTTTTGTGCCGCACGTCTGCTGGCATCCACAACCCGCAGCTTGTCCTGTAAGTTGTGGAAGCGAACAATAAGTGTATAAGGCCTAACCTTGGCGTCGGCGTTCGGCATTGAGATGCAATGAGCTCTCTCCAGCTTAAGCATCCCAGACTTAGTTTCAATACTGAGGAACTCTGGGATCCAAGTCTGAAGAAACGTGGTCGGGTTAGTACCCTCAACATTTTCAGGCAGGCCAATGATGCGTAGATTTTTCCTCCAACCTCAATTTTCTAGATCATCCAAGTGTTTAGTGAGTGAAGAAACTTGGCACTTGAGAGTCTGGATCCACGCATTTTCTGTATCTACTGATAACTCGACATCAGCATTTCTGTTCTCGGCTTCATTTAATCTGCCCATTGTTTGTTCAAGTTGTTGTGAATGGGCTTGAATAGTCTGCGCAATCGACCCAGTCATCTCCTTGTAGCGATGCTACAGTGTCAAATAATATTTAATTAATAATCACATTAAATGACACAAAAAATAAATCTATACAACTTCATAATATTTATTAGAATTCGTACAAACGGAAACCTAAAAATAATAACGAAAAGAGGTGGGGTTTGTGAGATTGAGAGGAAAAGAAAAGAGGAAGTAGAGAAGCGGAAGAGGGGGCCCAGTCGGGAAGTTGGGATTCCAGTCTGAGGAAGTTGAAGTGAAATCGAGGACGTTGTTTCAGCGTGTCGTGAAGATTCCCTGTTGGATTATTGTTCATGTGGATGATCCGAATTTCTGCATTGCAAAGATGGGAAGGGACGCGCATGTACGGAATAGACGGGGTTAACTGAGCGAGCTGAAACCTGAACGTCGCCCGTAAGAAACCAAAGCCAAAGAGGATTTTGACAGTGAAGTTGAAAACCTGTGAGTGTTGGTTCTTTCACTTCGACGACCTGAGATCACCTATCCAAGAGGTAAAGAAAACATTTGCCTTCCCGTGCCTTCGCGATTAGGCTACTAGTCTCAATAAAACTTTGAACAATAGCGAACGACCCCACCCCACATCATCGGAAGAACAATTACTATCACTCCTTACTGACTCCCATTAACAGTGTTTGAACAAATTTCGTTTCCACTAAATATTTACCATGTTTTGGAATGTTTTTGATTTCTTTTATTGTTATTTTTGTTTTTTGTAAGCAAAAGCCTATTGCTGAACCCTGACGGCCGGTGCGCAGACGCGCCATTAGGCTATTTCATTTGTCAATAATTGTTTCGTTTTACTCGTTCTTGAAGGTGTGTTTCTGGACACTAAGAGACTATAAAGTTTATTGCTACAAGATGTGAATGGACATTTCGATATCTTTTCTTTTTTCAAAACGGGTGGTTAACAGAAAAATATAAAAATGTTTGTCAGTTACTAAACTGTCTGGCGCCCAACTTGAACAATTAAAACTAGAAACCACTCCGTTACATCCTGCAGCACCCTGGATTACGCTGGAACAAGCTGTCCAACATAGTTACTAGTGTGCGACTCTTCACAAACCGCATCTGCAGGTAGATCCTTTTTCTTAGCTGGTGTCTGGTGGTTTTTTTTTTTTGTTTTTTTTTACAAAAGAATCAGGCCAAAAAGTTTCTAAAGAGATTGTACCTCAGGTTGCATTGCCAAAATTGATTAAATTATGTACTCAACTAATTGAATGAGGAATTTCATATTGAATGAGGCAGGAGCATCAGCAAAAGCGTCCACCTTTCATGCCGCCATCTTGGCCCCCTGGAAATCTTTTCTAATATTAATGCTCTTCCTAAAGCTCTTGCCTGATCATAAACCTAATTTTTCCAGTGATATTCCCTGACCTTTTCTCTTTTGTAATGTCTCTCAGCCATCTTTCTTTCTTAAAATCTCCCTCTTGCTCACTTTCTCTCTGCCTCCTACTGCTGATTGGCTTTAAGTGTGTTGTGGTGCTCAGTCCGATCCACTTTTAACAGCGGTTCTCAGAAATCGCTTACTGCCCCTTAAATATGTCAGGTTTGGTTAGGTGTGTGGGAAACTCAATATGTGATTTTGTGTTTTTTCAGCAAACGCACAAGAATTCGCTAATGACCGAACATACAGTCACCATACGGACCAAACCAGAGGAGAGAGAACGGAGGAGAGAGGAGAGGTATGAGCATCTTTTTTTCTGTCTTTCTCAGTAATATTAGAGACTTAGTAACCACTAGCTAGTTTTTAACTTGGTAGCTACTTAACTAACTCTGTTACATCGTAAGCTCTCTGTAAAGTAATGCATAGTCGCATAATACAACGTTTACCCTCAGTGATCCAATAGCAGCCTTCAAATACATGAGCAGAAATAGTTGAAATGCTGTGAATTTCCGTTTATCCTTATGTCTAACTTCTTTTGCCTCAAGCAAAGAACTGAAAGCAAGTTTCCATTAAAATACGATACTAAACATAAATAACATAAGTATTTTTGTATGTAAATAACAATCAGAAATGGTATTTTTAAATTAATAAGGATCAATAAATAAATACTGATACAAATAACATAAGAAATTAATTATCATTGATTTTATTTGACATGCACAACACAGGCCAATGCACACATAGTAGCACTGGTTTAGGACAGGGTCGTGTTGAAGAGCCACTAACAAAGTAATTTATTCACATGATGTTCTCTCTCTTAAAATTTAAGCGAGTGTAAATGTCAGCATTAACATACAGTCATGTAAAAAAGAAAGTATACCCTATTTGAATTCTATGGTTTTAGGTATCAGGACATAAAACAAAATCACCTGATCCTTAGCAGGTCCTAAAATGAGGTAAATACAAACTCAGATGAACAACACCACAGGCCATATTACACAGTGTCATTATTTAACAAAAATAAAGCCAAAATGGAGAAGCCATGTGTGAAAAACTAAGTACACCCCATGATTCAATGGCTTGTAGAACCACTTTTAGCAGTTTTCTGTATGACTTTATCTCACATCGTTGTGGAGGAATTTTGGACATTGTTTCAGTTCATTGAGTTTTACAGGCTTTTGTTTATGCACTGCTTTCTTAAAGTCCCGGCACATCATTTCAATCGGGTTGGGGTCTGGACTTTGACTGGGCCACTGCAACTTTTCAGCCATTCTGTTGTAGATTTGCTGGTGTGCTTGTGATCATTGTCCTGTTGCATGACACAATTTCAGCCAAGCTTTAGCTGTCGGACAGATGACATCAAATTTGACTCTAGAATACTTTAGTATACAGAGGAGTTCATGGTCGACTCAATGACTGCAAGGTGACTGCAAAACAAGCCCAAATCATCACCCCTCCACTACCAAGCTTGACAGTTGGTATGAGGTGTTTGTAATGATATGATGTGTTTGGTTTTCGACAAATGTTGTGCTGTGCATTACGGCCAAACATCTCCATTTTGGTCTTGTCTGTCCAAAGGATATTGTTCCAGAAGTCTTGTGGTTTGTTCAAATACATTTTTTTTTTTAGAGAGAATAGGCTTTCTCCTGGAAACCCTTCCAAACAAGCCATAATTGTTCAGTCTTTTTCTAATTGTAATGTCATTAACTTTAACATTTAAAATGCTAACTGAGGCCTGTAGAGTCTGAGATGTAGTTCTTGGTTTTTTCTTTTGCAATTTCTCAGAGTATAGCACGGTCTTACCATGGGGTGAATTTGCTAGGACGTACACTCCTGGAAAGATTTGCAACTGTCTTGAATGTTATCCACTTATCCAATAATCTTCCTTACTGTAGAGTGATGGACTTCAAATTGTTTGGAAATTGCCCTTTAACCCTCTGGGATCGGCTATCGCGCCGTGCGACGAGCTCACTTTTTTCCTTATCAGTGCAAAAGAGACTCAAATTACTCTGTTGATTTTGATCTTATATATAAGTGTTGTATACATCATTAGATCCTGTTAAGTGTCTATTTTTTTTGTGGATACTCACAATAAAAACAAAGTGTTCTGCTTTTTGTCAAATAAAGAAAAATAAACATGATGCGAATTTTGCCTTCTCTCTGTCAGTGAAGTTCATTCTGAAACGCGTCCGAAAATGAACTGTAACTAAGTAAATACTTGTCACACAGGTACGAAAGATTTTTCGTTATGAAGCTGAAATTATCTTCTTTTAAATGAAGTAATTTATATAAAAAACAAATATTCTCAGTTTATGTAATCTGTATGAAAAGAGAGATTTTCCTTTTCCTTTCAGCTAATTATAGCGTATTACATGTTAATGTGACCACGCCCACTGAGAGCACGCGCTATTCAAATGCAAATGTTGAGGCAAGCCATGAAAACACCCACGCAAATGTTGAGGCAAGCCATGAAAACACCCACATCAGCTGGATAAAACATCCAGTTTAATAAGAATCTTGTACTTTACCTTGTCTTGCTGCGCTGTGAGGAATAATACTATCGTAATAATCCTAGAAAAGTTACCTCAGAAGTGCTGGTAGTTTCATTTCGAGGAGCGGATTCAGCTGATGTAGTAAGTTATTTATTCTTAACCCTCTGGGGACGGCAAACGCGCCGGCGCGTTTTGCTGTATTTTTTTTACATAGCAGCAACATAGACTTAAAATACTCTGTCATTTATGGTCATATAAATAAATCAATACATGATTATAAACTATAGAGGGTCTTCTTTTTTTGTGTACACTCACATTAACATCAAAACCTTGTGTTTTTTTAAATAAATAAAATAAACAGGGTGCGCTTTCAGCTCACTCTGTCTCCGCAAAATTCTTTCTGAAACATGTCTGGAAAATGAACTGAAACTCAGCTAATACTTATCACACAAACATGAAACATACGTCTAAAGAAAGCTTTAAATTTCTACTTTTAAATAAAACAATTCACATTTAAAACAAATATTCTCCTGCAATGTAATCTGTATGAAACTAAAGAGAAGTACAGTTTCTCCTGTCTCAGCTCATTATCGTTAATTTGTTCACACCCACTCGCAGAGCGCGCTATTCATAAGATAATGTGTTGAGGCCATATGCAAAATAGATAAACGCCCCCAGGCAAATGCTGTAAACTCTGTAAACACACTATATTTTTTAGTCAGATTAAGATTCGTCTTGCGCGGCTATGAGGAATAATCCTGGGACATTTACCACAGAACAAGTGCTGGTTTTCACTTCGAGGAGGAGCAACAGATTCAGCTGAGAAGTGTAAGTGTTTTATGCTTGTGCTTTGTTCTAATCGCGATATAGAATAACGTTAGTGTCTGTAAACGGAAAAATAGCATACTGTTTAAATGTGAATCATGTTTCTGTGTGTGTGTGTGTGTGTGTGTGTGTGTGTGTGTGTGTGTGTGTGTGTGTGTGTGTGTGTGTGTGTGTGTGTGTGTGTGTGTGTGTGTGTGTGTGTGTGTGTGTGTGTGTGTGTGTGTGTGTGTGTGTGTGTGTGTGTGTGTGTGTGTGTGTGTGTGTGTGTGAATGAATGAATGAATGAACGCACAGATACGCACTGTTACAGACGAAATAAAAGACAACATTTCGTTGACTAGTTTTGGATAAAGTTTTTCAAATCAAATAAGCATCAAATAAGCTTCAAATAAGCTTCAAAATAAAGACATCAAATAAGCTTTTGTTAGGAGTTTCTGGGGATAGAAGTGTCCAGACGTATGGACCCTGTATTTTAAAGAAGAACATTTAATTATTTGCGATACATTATTCATTCACAAAGAATTCAGGGACATTATTCGTGTCCCTAAAGGTTGGAGTTTTCTTCATTTTTTTAATTAAGGCATTAAGATTTTTTTATTCCTCTTTTTAGTCAACTTTAGCATGGGTGTGTTCACTTATTCTAAACAGTGTGTGTGTGTGTGTGTATATATAATTAAAAAGCAATTTTAACCAGAAAAATCTACAATGCATGCCCAAAGTCGTGCAGCCATATAGTTTCTCTTGATATCAGCATGTTCACAGGTGTTTATTTTATTTTTTACAGGGACAAGATGCCACTGATGAGTCCTGCTGACTTCAACATTCACAGGAGACTGTACATGAACATGGTAAAATGAAAAATCAAACACCTTGGAAATGACAGGTATGTACTATGTTTCAGGAATGGGACAATGCTGTGTGACTTTGCAAGCCTCTGTCTTTAGATCAGTGTGTTTACTAATGTGCTTTTTTGTCCTTTGTTGTGTATCTTTGGATTATGTTGTGTTGTAAATAAATCCAAACAATATAAAAGCCATTCTTTTTTAAATCTCCTCATTCTTTGTGCAAGGCTCTTCATAATGATATGGCCTGATAGCACCTAATAGGGCCATTATGGGAGGGTCTTTGTCTTTCTCAGGTGTGAAATGCCATACATATTAATGAGAGATCACGCCTCCTCGCATAAAGATTTCTCAAACAAAACACGTCATACACATTCTAAAATACTTTATTGACTTATCTGAATGAGTAGTCAGGATGATTCTCACATAGTTTTGGAGCAAATATTCTAGACTATGTGATACAATTTTCAAAAGTCTTGTGAAGAAATAATCAATATGTGTTTTGTGGCCTTATTTCAGAAACTTTTATTTTTAAGTTTTTCCAATAACCATGCATAAATAATATTCTCTCAAAAATACAAACATGTACATACATGTTGCTCACATATTATGGTAGCCCCGTTTGTGCTATATAGAGTGAATTTACACCTTTTCCATTAACATGTTTATAAATAACTGAAAAAAGCACAAATGTCAGTGCATGTCAAAACATCCCGAGGGCCCCAAAAACCCCTTGGTCCCCAGAGGGTTAAGTGCTTTGTTCTAATCGCGTTATTGAATAGTGTCTGTAAACTGCAGAAAGACTGTTTAAATATGAATTGCGTGTCTGTGTGTGAACGAATGAATGAACGGCACAGACGCGCGCACGATGTTGTTTACTACAGCTGTACATCGCATCTGTGCCGTTCATTCACTCTCGCTCCTACATTAGTAAACGTTATTTTTACATGAATACATCCAAACTATATTGCTATAGCCTACTGAGATTTGTTCTAATCGCGATATAGAATAGTGTCTTTAATGACAACATTTCGTTGACTAGTTTTGGATAGATTATAAAGTTTTTACTCTAAAATAGACATCAAATAAGCTTTTGTTAGACAGTTTCTGCTCATATGTTAAATATATAGTATGTTTTGTCAAAAATAAACTACTCAACTGTTATAGTGTTTGTTCCAATGCAAGCTAGGCTATATCAAAATAATGAATCCTTAACTTTGAAATATGTATGATAAAATGTATTGGCCTACTTTAAAAAAATAATACTTTATAGGAGATTTATGGAAAAAGACAATTTTCTTTTCAAGATGTTTCCAACTCTAACTTTGAACCAATTCTATAGAATGGCCCATATAACCTATTTAAACAGGATTTGTTTCCAGGTATGACAAAAAATGTGCTTTGGACTTTCATTTATATTTTGATTTTATATATATATATATATATATATATATATATATATATAAAATCAAAATATAAATGAAAGTATGTGTGTGTATATGTGTGTGTGTATATGTGTGTGTGTGTATATATCTATTGTCCTTGCATTCTTTCTTGTGTGACACACCTGAATGAAAGGCTCATTATTATGCGGGTCTTTGTCTTCTCAGGTGAGAAACACCTTATTATTCATGAGGGGTTGGGCCATTCACGCCCATTCGCATATTGCCTTTCCAAACAAAAAAATGTTTTTCACAATTTAAAACAATATGTGAATGATTAGGCAGGATGATTTTCAGATCATTTTGAACCAAAAACTCTAGGCGACAACATACATTAGTCAAAAGTCTTGTGGACACATATTTAGTATGTGTTTTGTGGCCTTATTTCAGAAACTTTAATTTTTAGTTTTTTCTAACAATATTCTCTCAAAAATACAAACATGTACATACATGTTGCTCACATATTATGGTAGCCCTGTTTGTTCTAAATAGAGTGTAATTTCACCTGTGCCATTAATATGTTTATAAGCAACTGAAAAAAGCACAAATATCAGGGCATGTCAAAACATCTCAAGTACCCCAAAAACACCTTAGACCCCAGAGGGTTAACCCTTCCCAGATTGGGCAGCAACAATTGCTTCTCTAAGATCATTGCTGATGTCTTTCCTCCTTGACATTGTGTTAACACACAACGGAATGCTCCACACCAGCAAACTGCCAACACTTCTGCTTATATTGAGATGGTCACACTTGCTGATTTTTAATTGATCAAGGACATTTTTTACACATGGCTTCTCAAATTTGGCATAGTTTTTGTTAATGTCATGTTGTTCATTTGAGGTTGTATTTACCTCATTTTAAGACCTACTAATGACCAGATATTTTATCATTATTATTAGGGGTTCAAGCACGAAGGGGTGGGTATAAATACAGATTTCCCAATTCAATACAATTCCATTTCACAAGCTTTTTTTCAGTGCCCGCCTGTTTTTCTTACAAATAAAAGAGGTAAAAAAAGCTCTCTCTGATTAAGCTGTAAATCTCACAGGGCAGTGTTTCAGGCTGATTCAAACCAGTAAAACTTTTTGAACTATTAATTCAACGTCACATTGTATGTTTATTTATTTTTTGTATAAAATAAACAAACATGCAGTTTTGTTTGTTTCACAACTCGAGGAAAAATATGATTTATTTTATAATAGCACTGGAGATTCAATGCTGCTCTGAAAGGATGGAGAAAAATGATTAAGATAACCTTATTTGTTACATTATGAAAATTAGTTAGCTCAGCAGTACAAATTGATATCTGCAAGACAGAAAGTGTTTTAGAAATATGTTTTCACACAGTCACTGATAATAGCCATAAAGTAAAATATTGACCATGGTGTTTTAAGATTCAATATCAGGATTGTTCAAATAAATATCAAAATCAAAATTTTTACCCAGCCCTATTTGAATGTTTCATTCTGTTGTTCTTGTTTTGAAGTAACTCACAGATAATGACTGATGCCGGTGTCTGTTCTTCAGGGTGGGTACTCCATGTTTATTCAGCTGATGCCCATAGCTGTGCTGGTCTTGGTCTCAGTCCTCAGCCAGATGATGGTGTCCACACCTCCTTATAGCCTTTACTCCAGACCGTATGTTATAATACCTTACAATACATGCCTCATACTACAGTACAATCTATGCTTTAGATCATGTGCAATAATGCCTTATGATACATGCCTCACAACACTGTACAAACTGTACTTCAGACAGTACGTAATAACTCTTTATATGTGGGGTTAACATGTTATGGGTTGCATTCATGCAATTAATGGAATGTCTTACACTGTTGATTTTTTTTAAACACTTTGCAGTGCTAGAAAGTTCAAAAGGCTGACTCTTATCAGACTTTGTCATATTGAAGCTTAAACCTTCCCCTTTCTTTGTGCAAAATTTCACAACTGTTTGTGTGTATTACATATACAATATTTACCCCATGGCAAAGAAAACAAATGGCTAAAATGGCTAAACACTAGGAGCCGGTTGCACCAACAGGGCTTTACTAAGCCTGGTCCTAACTGCTAAGTAGGTCTTAGTTAAGACCAGTCTTTAGAGTTGACCTAACGTCGGTTGCACCAACCAAACTTAAGCCTAGGCTTAACTACGCCTGGTCTTAGCGTTGCGTGTTCATGTGAATGGCCATGGAACTCTAGTGGTTGCCTAGCAGCGTGCGTTGCTGGGTTACGCTGTAAACAATCTTCCGCTGTTTTGTTAACTTGTAGCCGTTTCAATGGAGGATCAAAGAAAAAGGAAAGGAAATTTCAACGACATTGAGATACGAAAGTTAATAGAGCTGTACAGTCAGCACATGACAATTCGCTTCATTCGCGGCAGCATTACGTCTGTCTCCTGCACGTGAGAGGAGAGGTAGAAGAACGTTGGTTATAAATGTCAGTTCAATTGTAAGTTCATTCTTTATGTGCTTAGGAGTGTGTGCTCTGTATAGTCTATGATGATATTGTAATCATTGTTTTAACTATGGACGAGGCACTACATTTGTTTCTCGTGCTTGTTTTCACTGCGTGATGTGTCACTGCAGTTATAGGTATGTCCCCAAACAAGTTTTTTGTCTTATATTTATATCATATTATGTTATTAAAAGTGCCGTTTTCATGTGCACAATTGCAAATGTGATTTTTTGTATACAACAGTTAAATTATCAATAAGTTAACATTGTGAGTTACTTTTTAGACACACTATTGTGAATATTGTTTGTTTCCCCTTTATTTCAAACGAGAATTTCAAAATGAAACCGTAGCAGAGTCTCCATGTAACAGACAGCGAAGATTTTTTGACCATTTTTAACGAATCATTTTAACGATTCAATGAACAATCACTTGCTTTTAGTGGCTTTTAGTGCAAAATCACTTCACTTTAACATTATCTGTCGGAAAATGGATAGGCCTATTAACGCTATTATATGCCTAGATTTTGACTTTACGCCTGCTACTGACTAGGCGTAAGATTTACGCCCGGTCTTAGCGAGAAGAGGACTTAAGCCTGGATGGTGCAACAGTCGTAACTATTAGTTCGGACTTAGAATGCTGAGTTAAGACCTACTTACCTTAAGACCAGGCGTAAGCCCTGTTGGTGCAACTGGCCCTAGGCTTTTAACTGTCTTAACCACAGATTATTGGTCAGGAAATTAGCTAAATTTAAGCAAATGCACTACTTAAAAGGCCATTATTGTCTCAGAAAAACATCACAGACAGAATAAAGTTATTGGCAAAATATGGGAAGTTTGAATCCATCTTACCCCATGTTACCCTAATATTAAGAAAGAAAATTTGAATAAATATATTATTGTTCTAGCACTTTATACACTTGTACCCTTTAACTCTAATTTTTCATACTGTTCCTTAAAACTTGGTTGTAATATCTGCTCCTTCACATCTAGGTCCACAGGACAGACTGTTAAGAGACAAACAGAGAACCTGCATGTGGACTATTTTGTCACCAGAGATTTCAAATCAGAATATAAGGGCTCAGCTTTGCTAAAGATTGAGAAGAATGTAGAGGAGGATTATGTTTCTAATGTGCGCAACAACTGCTGGAAGGAAAGACAGACAAGTATGTGCCATTATTTCATCTTTACCATCTTATTTTTCCACTATGGGTTTATATGCTTTGTTTGGTCCTAGGGATATGCTTTGAGGTCTTAATAAAATTCGTTTTGTCATCATGTCATCCCCTTCAGAAACAGACCTGCTGTATGCTGCTAAGGTCTACAGAGATGAAAGACTACAGCGAAAGGCTGAGCTCATGACCATGGAGAACTGCAAAGAGCTGGACAGATTAAACAACCTGTTCCGTGGTGGATAAACCTCAAACTGATACTAACAGACACTTAAGAAAATAAGACACCGTGGTATATTTTTTTTTTTTTTTTTTTTTTTTTTTTTTTTTTTTTTTTTTTTTTTACCATTCTTATAGAAAACATATTAAAAATGTTAAAAGTCTCTCACTCATCTGGGATATGCTTTGCTTCATATTACATCAGATCAACTGAGAAAAAGATAATTTTTACCCAGCACCATCAATCCATTTTTTAATCTGTCTCTATTATGTCTGACTTCACTAAACCATGGGCCTAGATGTTCTACACTTAAACTACACAACCTTTTTTTTTCTTCTTGACTTTGAATCCAAACTTGCATTGACTCCATATCTATGTTGCTCTCCTTGCCAAGTTTTAACAGTGCTACTAACTGGAAGAGATCACTATTTTGAATCTTAATGAACTTTAAATAGTACAGATGAAATATAAGCTGTTAATAGAGGAGTACTCTTCCATTCGGTTTAGGAACAGAAATTATTAGATTTTTTAAAAATATTCTCTTATAATTTTTTCCATCAATTGAAAATCCACACAACCAAAATTTCACACTTCGAAAAGATACCTTAAAAGTAATCCATATGATTCAAGCATACGTAACCAAATAAATATAGGCTTTTACTCCTTTATAAACCTTGAATAACTCGCATACATAGAGTTGACGAAATATGGTAAACATGGAAGCACAAACATGCTTGTGTAGCAAATTAGCTCAAAAGTAAAATATGTATAATTAATTATAACGAATTAATAGTACAATTATTTAATCAGTTTTTCCAACGAACAGACAGCATAATCAGTTATAAATTCTTGGCCAAGAAAGAAAAACCTTTTACCCTGCTAGTACTTTATACAGTAGAAATTGCATGTAGCTAGATCAAGACATTTAAGTGACTTTGATTTGTGAGCGGCAAACACAGAGACAATAAAGCATGGTTATAATGGTTTAATAAACAAAACTATGGGTAGGCTAGCCTGGGAAAACCCAGACAACTTCCGGGAAATTTAGATTTGCTCTGAAAGTTAGTCTGGTAAAGAGCTCATTCAAGCCCATTTCCAATCCGTCGAAATCAAGGCACCAATCAGAAACGTTGGGGCGGGCTTTACACGATGATGACAGCGCTGGGATTTTGAAGCAGATTTTGTAGCCTACATTACAAAGATGGATGCCGCCGTCGAACATCACTCGTTCGAATCCGCTATCGCGTCTGTTTTAAGCGATTTGAACGTTTCCTTTTTGTTAAAAACCGAGCAAAGAACAACACTCGGAGATGTTTCTCCGCCGCTCTGCATACGTCATCTCCTTCATCGCTCTGATTGGTTTTAGGTCTATCCGCGACGTCCGTTGGTGAAGCCCCTCTGGAAATGATTTGTCTATGACGCTTTGCCAGACCATAACTCAGTTACAACTGAGAATGGTCTGGTTTTAACCAGGCTATGGGTAGGCTACACACACAACTAAACTAAGTAAAGATTATATACAGAATTAAGAAAGTAAAGAAAAGTAAACAAACAGAGGGAGAGAAGAGAAGAGAGTGGCAATATTACAATCAGTTAACTACAACCTACGAGAAATCAGGGTCACCTTCAAAGGGGAACAATAACTTAGAAACGCATCTAAAGGCTGCGAACGGGTACTTGCATTGACTTCGGTTGCTGAACAAGTCCAGATGCGGGAGATTCTTGATGTTCGTTTGGGTTCTTTGGGGTGGTCCAACTTTAAGTTAACTTAAAGATAAAGTTCCCAGAATGAGACAGGAAACGTAGTGTCTCAAAAGAGATTGATAGTTCTCTGATCAGTTCAGATCTTTGCTCAAAGCCCCTAACAGTTCACACTCATTAGGTGAGGTGGCCAATCAAAGATGACCGGGAGAAAGTCTTTGTTCCATCTTATCCCATTTTGCATGTTTATGCTGGCATGGAGAATTTGTGCAGTTTTTACACAAAGGTATGGTAAAAATGTGATTATGCATTTATCATAACATTCTATGCACCATTGATTATAAAATGAAAAGAGGATTATTTTGAGACCAAGAAAGATGGGGATTTTAAGACGAAGCTGTGATGCATCATCTTTTGGAAATCAGCATTTGAAGTTACCCTAACATAACTAAAGAATCATAAAGTGGCTAATATAACATAGGGACATAATGTATATTAAAAATACAATATAGCCTACAGTTGGGACAGTTTGATTGTAAAATGGAGTAAATATTGAGTCAATTTCCTTTTTCTTATGGGTATTGGAAGTTGGTCTAGTCAAATGGCTGGCACTGTCTGTTTTGGTTGTGTGGACTTTCAGTGGATGAACAGAAATTATGAAAGAATACATTATCTTCCCTTGTGTTCTGAAGCATGACAGAATTTTCATTTTTCTTTTGGTGAACTTTCCCGTTAAACAATCATTTATCCTAAATTATTATCCTCCCTAAAATTCTATTCATTTAACACTGCTGTAATGTAATCTGTGTTCTAAGCTGTTATTTTTGAGATATAACATCAGTGAAGTACAAAAGATAAGTAGCACATGCTACTAAATTGCCTAAATACACCCTGTGAAACAAAATGTTAAAATTATTCATTCATAGAACAAGAACTATTTTACAATAATCCTCCTTGCCAAACCTTCTTGCAGATAATTTATTTTATATTAAAATTTAGAAAATAAATTTTTTCCAGTTACTAAAAGACTAACAATTAAAAGTAACTATTTAAAGGTGCAGTATGTAATATTGACCACTAGTGGTTGAAATGGGTACTGCAATTCAAATTCAAAACCGCCCCCTCCTCCTCAGACTCCACGCTCACGCTGGTTGCCAGAGTGTGGACACGCAACAGGAGCGAGTGCAATTGAAGATGGAAGGCGACAAGCCTTACAATAAGTTGATGAGTTGATTTATCCGTGTTTTAATATGCCTCTTGTCATAGAGCTTTTTAGATGGATGCCAAGGCTTTTTAGGTCAGGGAGAATCTGCGGTCTCTGACCTAGTTTGTTTGCTGGCTTCCGTGGCTGCAATACACTGTCCGTCAAATTGCAACCTAGGGTGTGAAAATACTATTGGGTAAATTGGCATGGGACAGGATCAAAAACATATTGCGACACGGAACGCACATCTCAAAGTAGAACAACTGGCTGTAGCATTGTTTTTTTGACCTTAGCATGTGTCCTAAATCTCTGCAAACATATTATGGTATCTTTGTCCTTTAGTACAGTCAAAAAAAATTACATACAGCACCTTTAAGTGTTTCTATTACTGTAACTTTTTTTTTTGTGGTCTTTTCATTGGACATTCCAGGAATTCCTTTTAGTAAGGTCTCTTTACACATCCCCCCTTGTTTTTTATTTCTTTTTTTTTTTATTACAAGGAATTTAGTTTCCTTACCCTTGGAATGTATATGTTGGTCAAACCTGTATGTGTTTAATTGCTGTTAATACCATAATAAAGTGGTATTACACTAGGGATATTTTTTTCCATTCTCTTATGTAATTAAATTGTACATATCACATATGTTAATAATTATATATTGTAAGTAACACGTTGTCATTCAGACAGTTTTTTACTCTATTATTTAAACCGCTTTTCCTTTTTAGGAGGAAAAAAAATAAAAGAATAAAAAAATAACGACAACAAAAACACAAACGCTATAAACAACTGTTACATGAGGTCTTACAAGGAGTCAGCAACTATGTGATACAAGTAGAAATTCTTGTATAATTTTGAAGAGTCCTTGTTTTTTTTTGTATGTAATAATCCTATTTCCTCCAGTATTTTTATGATGATTTTTCAATATAGGTTTTTTATGATCCACATCAGGAAGGTTTCTCTTGAGCCAACATTTAGTGACAGCTTTTTTGCAGGTGACCAGAAAAATCTTCAAGAGGCAATATCACTTTTACCCAAAACCTCCGGAGTAAATGGTAAATGGACTGCATTTATATAGCGCTTTCACAGACCCAATGGCCACCAAAGCGCTTTACATTTTGCCTCACATTCACCCATTCATACACCGACGGCAGTGTCAGCCATGCAAGGCGCCATCCAGCTCGTCGGGAGCAGCTGGGGTTAGGTGTCATAGACACCTCGTCAGGTGGAACCGGGGATTGAACCACCAACCTTCCTGTTTGTAGACAACCTACATGAACCACTGAGCCACTGCAACCCAGAGGAACATAGTGGGAAATGTCACATCTATTAAAAGCCCTATTCGGATGGGATTAGTTTTAAACGGGTAGATGGGGTAATGTAATTTTACCAAAGGACGTCTGTAATAATAATGGCCAATTTGCATGGGATAAGAAATCTCAGTAAAACTAGCAGAAGTGGGATGGGTAACTCGATTATGCACCGCCGTCACCTTCCTGTCGTCATGTGCGTATTATGTTGCTTCCTAATATCATGCGTGCAAACACACATGATTTTACCTGACATTACCCCATCAGGTCCGGTCAAACAATGTATTAATTAAATTCAGAGTGGATTATGTTGGTAGCTTAATGCTAAAAGAAGTTTCATGCCTCTAGCAAGTGCTTTCAACCTTCTTTTTGATCTGAATTGTAGCCTATGTGGAAAAACACTTTTGTTTTCCACAGACTTGTCCCACCGCAGAATGCAACTTAATTCTTTGTCAAGCGCCTCCATACTTGGAAAAAAAAAACACAGAAAATTACTTTTAAACAGGAAATGACGGAATATTTACGTACATATTTACAGCGGGTCTGTTCGCACAGGATTAGTATTACCTGAGGTAATTTTTCCGGACCTTTTTACAGAAGGTAATCGAGAGGGGGTTCAGCGAAAAATCGGCAGCTAGCAGCAGGAAGTAGCTGCCACTGGCAGCTGACCGTACCTGCCAATAAAACCGGACGTCAGCTGCCACTAATAATCGGAAGTCGGAGGTGTATGCCGCTTTTAGCCAGGCAAATAAATTATTATATTAATTTATATATAATTTTAGTACTTATTTACATAAAATACTTTTATTAGTAATTATTTTATAATATTTGATTAAAATCAAGATCATAGACATGAGAAAGAAAAAAAAACAAGC